GACATATCTTTTTTTTTTTTTTAAAGTTTATTTATCTCTTTTGAGGGGGCAAAGGGGGAGAAGGAGAATCCCAAGCAGGTGCTGCATTGTCAGTGTGGAGCCTGATGCGATGTAACGCGGGGCTCAAACTCATGAACCGTAAGATCATGACCTGAGCCAAAACCAAGAGTTGGATGCTTAACTGACTGAGCCACCCAGGTGCCCCATTTGAAGATAGATTAACAAGGTAGAAATACATAAACCATCTCTTTTCAGAAAACTGGAATGACTCAGCAATCTGTCAGTGCACTTAGCTTCCTGGACTGACATGAAGATGGTTTCATAAGTGTTATGGGCAATTAGAAAATTTCGAATACCCAGGTGTGTCAATAATCTAGATCAAAAGAATGGGATCCCTTGAATTATGAAAAGATAAGTCCTTTTGTACTGTGATGATATCATTCACTGGTGTGGAGCTTGAATGAAAATGAGGGTCTAACTTATTTGGGAAAAGTGATTTTGAAAGAGGAGGGCTATTACAAGCTCAAACAAATTTTATCATACAGTATTTATTGGTTTATTGTAGTTTTTTTATTCATCATTTGTTTTCCCACAAGATTAATTATCTTGACAACCTTTCTGCTTAATGTTAAACATCCACAATATGTTAGGTATTGGTTAGAGCATTCAAAATATGGTCTCTAACACATGGAGTTCACACCCTAAGACTTACTTTAAAGATGATCTTCCTCAGGCACCTGGGTGGCTCATCTGGTTAAGCATCTGATTCTTGATTTCGGCTCAGGTTGTGATCCTGGGGTCTTGGGATCAAGTCCTGCATGGGGCTCTATGCTGAGTGTGGAGACTCTTTCTCTCCCAGATCCCTCTCCCAGCTTGTGTACTCTTTCTCTTAAAAAAAAATGTAAATAATCTTCTTTATACATATATTTATATGTATATATATATATATACATATTTTATCTACTTTATTGTATATGGGTATGAGGTCTTTTTTTGTTTTGTTTTTTAGTATAAATCTCTACACCCAATGTGGGGCTCAAACTTGGAATCCTGAGGTCGAGTCATATGCTCTACCAGCTGAACCAACCAGGCACCCCTACTGTGTTTTCTTTTCTTTTTACCATAATAGGTAGATGAATCTCTTAAACTGGTCATTTAAGAAAACTTGATGTTGCTTGGTGAAACTGACACATGTGCGTTTGAATCCTGATTCTGCCACCTATTTAAAAAATAACACTGAGCAAGTCCCATAATCTTGCTTAACCTCAGTTTCCTCATCTATAAAGTGATAAACCTATGACACTTATCTCCTAAGGTTGTGAGGATTTAAAATGTGAAGGAGTTTGCACATAGCAAAAGCCACAAAATATTCTCTCCCTTTGGCAGATTAAGAAAAAATAAGATAAGCAATGCGTCTTTTGTGGTATATATTTCTTTTTTGAGGTATATTTTTAATAAAGGAAGATAGGAAGTATGAAGGGGCTTAAGTATACTAGTCAATGTCAACCAGAATGTTTCTGAAATATGATAGTGATTATGTAAGTAGAACAAACTTGAAGATTCTTGAAATCCAGTGTGAACAGGACAGAGATCCAGGAGTGGGTAAGAGGAGGGTCACAATCATATCAACAAAGGTTATGTCAAAGAGACATTGATTTAAATATAACTATAAAAAATTGCCACATTTTTAGATGAAAATGGCTGAGTATTGGCAGTTTCATATGGTCCACTTCACAAATGCTCAGGAGGAAGAGAAGCAGTAGGGACGGTGAGGGAAAGGGCAGAGTCCTTCAGCTGTGGTACCGTGTACCAGGGCTGATTTTTTTTTAACGTTTTATTTATTTCTGAGAGAGAGAGACATTGTGAGCAGGGGAGGGTCAGAGAGAGTGGAAGACACAGAAGCTGAAGCAGGCTCCAGGCTCTGAGCTAGCTGTCAGTACAGAGCCCGACACGGGGCTCAAACCCATGAACTGTGAGATCATGACCTGAGCCGAAGTCGGACGCTTAACCGACTGAGCCACCCAGGCGCCCCTGTTGCTGATTTTAATACAGAATGGCTAGGCTCTTACAGATGTGAATCAAGCATTATTTAGTAGCCTCTTTGTAGAGAAAAAGGAGGTTGAAGATGGGTTCAAGTTCATGGATTGGGTGTAGAAATCTTTTAGGCCCTTTGACATTTATCAGTTTCCAAAGCATTTAAGAAACCTTTACACAAAAACATAGAAGATACAAAAATAAGTGAGGAAATTGAGGATAAGGGAAAATATAGTAACACCCAGATCTCCTACTGTGATGTAAACAGTGGCCAGCACAGAACTTCCTGAAATCATCTTTGAAAAGAAGTAGAAATGACATCCAGCATGGTGCTTGCCTGGGTGATAAGCAACTCCAGTTCTGGATTCTTACATAATGTGGCAGTAGATTTTGAGAAAACCCTGCTATCTTTTAATTAACATAAGCTGTACTTCAAGATTTGACTACAGTGCTGGAATAGCCAAGAAAAGGTATTCTGTCCAGAGACTATCTTCATTTCTAGCTTTAAGATATTGCATGACAGTCACTCTTATAAGTGTGGTCTGAGGGTGTCCTCTGAATCTGAATAGGTAGTAGTAATATTTTTGGCATTTGTATCTCTTAAAAGCATTGCATTAAAAGCAGGCTAGTTAGCTCTGGTAGGTGATTTTCTCTTTTCAGAAAGATTAGATAAAGTGTTTTTACATCTTGTCAGAATGGTCTATGGACCAAAGAGGTTTGAAAATGATTTCCTCATTCCATTTGTCAATTGGTATCAATGAGGAAATGAATTCCTATGGCCAAATATTTTGCTATGGGTGGCTGGACTAAGACTTCGTAAAAGTGGCACATAGATAGTATCTTAGACCCATAAAAGCACATTGCCACTTCCTAGAAAAACCGCTGAAAATCCCTCCTCAAGGGACAGAATGATCCTCTATCCAACATACCATACCAGAAAAGTGACAATACCGTGATTACCCTCCTCTCCCACTCCACTTTTCTCGTGTCTGTCCTCCTCAAGCCTCCCATTCCTTCCCCCAACCCAAGTCAGCTTATTCTGATGCTTTAATTTTCCTTTAAAACTTAAGGGTAAAATAGTACAGCATTTATACTTCTTACCTTTTAAAGTTATTCTTCTATTTAAATATGAGACCAAAGGTCTTACTATTAGGTGAGATCAACTTGAAATTCTGAATTTCAATTCTGAACCAGTATTTTTAAAAAATTCTGAATTTTGGGGCGCCTGGGTGGCTTAGTCGGTTAAGCGTCCGACTTTCACTTAGGTCATGAATTCGCGGTTCGCGGGTTCGAGCCCAGCGTCGGGCTCTGTGCTGACTGCCAGCTCGGAGCCTGGAGCCTGTTTCAGAGTCTGTGACTCCCTCTCTCTCTGACCCTCCCCTGCTCACGCTGTCACTGTCTCTCTCTCTCTCCTAGAAATAAATAAAACATTTAAAAAAAAAATTCTGAATTTCAAGTCTCGTTTTTTGCATGTTTGTGGTTTTTGGGTTACTTCCCTAGAAGCTATGGCTTTTGTACAATTAAGTGCCAAGTAACCCTGCACTGTTTTTGATCCTATGAGTAAAGACCACAAGTGTAAGTACCTTAGAATTGAGGTGCAAATTCAGTGTCTCACAAATGAGCTAAGAATTGTTTTTAGTTAGCACACACAAAATCCTAGTTCAATTGCTCAGACTTTACAACCCAAGCCTCAAAGCAACTCTATCACACAGCTTATTATTGTTTTGATTAAAATACAATAATCGCAATAATTGAAACACTAATTCTTGTTTTAGATTTCTAATAAAAAGGGTTATTGTGGACAGCGTTTTCACCTCTTGAATCTAACCTTTCTTGGCAATTAAATCTAAATAGGCAGAAACGTCTTAGTTGGCCACACACACAGCCTGAGTATTACCCACCCTCCGCGATGAAAGCAAGATATCAAGGGTGATTAGGGCAAAGTAGTGTTAAACTAATCCAATACGTGAAAAAATGATTTTAAAAGAAAAATTTCCAATAAAAAAATACTGAGCTGAGAATCGGTATTTCAAAAATGTTGGTAATAGTTGATCAGATTTTTCGGATGTTGATTTGTTACCAAGACGATCAAAAAGCAGGGAATAAATACGTTTGAGCAGTAAAATGATTGAGTGGCTTAAAAAAATAATTGTGCCCCACTGAATATATATGTTCGCCACGAACTACATGAGATATACTTTAAGCGTCTGTTTCGGTCCTACTGGCCAGAATGAAAGTTCTCCCGTTAGCGAGGTGAACTGCAATTTTTGGTTTCAATGCCTGCCTGCAGGGTACGTACAAGTAGGAGACGGGTGGAAAACCTGGGGCTAAGGGGGATGGGAACGAGATGGCTCTGACTGTGAATCTAAGAGCTGAATGTGTGAGAGAGAAAATCCTCCTCCAGCCTCGGAGGGGGTGTCTCCCCCAATACCAGCTCCCTCCCCCCGGGCTGGTGGGGCGGGTCTGGTTTGCTCAGTAGCTGCTGCGGCCGTAGCAGCAGCCCCGGGGCTGAGCAGCGGCGGCCTCCTGGCAGCGCAAGGAAGCGGCGGCTCCGAGAGCGTGAGGCCCTGGGGAGAACCGGCGGAGTCTGCTGGCGGGATGGAGGAAGCATCGAGTGGAACCCGGACTGTCGGGGACGGATTTCCTCCCCAGCCCAGCTCTCTACAGCTTGGCTGGGTCGGCTCCAAGCACCTACGAGGTGAAAGAGGCCTGCGTCTCGGGCCTGGCAGCGGCAGCCGGCGAGCGAGGCGGGCACAGCGGGGTAACAGTCGAGCCGTAACCGCTCTTGGGAACCTACGCCGCCACGGCCGCTTATTGTCTCTCCCCTTCCACCCGGGGGCAAACAGGAAGCGCGCCGGCTGACCGAGCGATTGACGGGCTTCCGGGCCAATGAGCACCGCCGACCAAGAGCGTGGCGGCGAATGAGCGCGAAGAAGAGAGGCGGGACTTCCGGGCGGGCTGTCACCCTCTTCCCCCCTTTTGGGCTGGAGGCTCCACCTTTTGTGTTTCCCGCACAGTCAATCAAAATAGGAAAAAAAAATCCCCGGACCGCTCCGGCCGTGTCCGCCGCCGCTTCCCGCATCCTCTCCCGCCGCCGCCGCCTTCGCTCCTCACCATGTGTAAGGCGGCGGGGAGCCCCGCCTGAGGTGCCCTAAACACACTATGACCGGTACGTAAAGCCGAGAGAGAGCAACCCTTGCTGCCGCCGCCGCTGCCGCCGCCGCCGACACAGCCAGCCCGGGGCCGCCGCCGCCGGCTCCCGACCCCGTGTGTGCGACCGAGTGTCTGTGAGAGGCAGAAAGCCGCACTCCCTTCCGCCTCCCTCCCCTCCCGGCCAGCCACCGTCCACCCCTTAAGCCCCAGCAACGCCGTGTCCCTGCCGGGCCCTGGGGCGGGCGGCCCGGTCCGCCGGGAGCGCATCCCCCCGTGTGCGGACGCGGGCGGCGGGCGGGCGTGTGTGAGTGACTGACGGTGCGAGAGGAGCGAGCGCGAGTGAGAGCGAGCGGCGCGAAGGGAAAGGGGAGGAGAGGAGAGGAGAGGGGGCAGGGGCAGCGCGGGGAGGAGGAGGAGGAGGGAAAGAGGAGGAGGAGGAGGGTTACAGGCAGCGGCGGGCGGGGGCAGCAGCAGGAGGGGAGGAGGGAGCCGCCGCCGCCGCCGCCGGGGGGCGGGTGGGGGAGGGGAAGGGGACTCGGTCCGGGCTTTCGGAGTAATTTCGCCTCGGCCCGCGGGCCCCCTCCCTCTCCTCCACCCGCCTTCCTCCCCACCCCCACCCCCCCGCGCTGTGCCTGCAGCTCCCGAAAAGCCCGTGAAACAAGAGGAAATGGCTGCCTTGGACGTGGACAGCGGCGGCGGCGGCGGCGGCAGCGGCGGCGGCCACGGCGAGTATCTGCAGCAGCAGCAACAGCACGGAAACGGCGCGGTGGCGGCGGCGGCGGCCCAGGTGAGGAGCGGCTGAGCCCCGGCCCGGCTCCCCCCTAGCGCCGCTTTCTCCTCCCCTCGCCTCTCCCCTCCCTCCGCGCCTCTCTCCTCCCCTCCCCCCGCCCCGGGAGCTGCCCGCCCGAGGCGCCAACGCTCCGACCCCGCCCGCGCTCCCCCTCCCGCCGCCTTTTTGTGAGTGTGTGTGTGTGTGTGTGTGTGTGTGTGTGTGAGTGAGTGAGTGTGCGCGCGCGCGTGTGTCTGTGTGTGCGCGCGCGAGCGTGAGCGTGCGAGCGTGTGCGCCCTCCCGGGGGTGGGTTCCGGGCGGAAGGTGGAGGCCCGGCGCGCAGCCCGCCGCCCGCCTTCCCGCGGACGGAGGAGCTGGTGTGCGTGCGAGCGGGAGCACTCGAGCCGGAGTCGAGGAGGAGGAGGAGAGCGCGGGCTGGCGCTCGCCCGGGCGCAGCCTGGAGGACCGAGGCGCACTTCCTGTGCGAGCGGCGGCCCGGCCCTAACCGCCACCCCCTCCCCCTGTCTCCCTCTCTGAACCCGCCCATCGGGGGTAGGACACTCAGCCGTCACCGCTCGCCCTGCTGGCCGCTACCTGCAGCAAGATAGGGCCGCCATCGCCGGGCGACGACGAGGAGGAGGCGGCTGCCGCAGCCGGGGCCCCCGCCGCCGCCGGAGCGGTAAGTCTCGCGCGCGCGGCCCGCCCCCGCCAAGGCCCTGCGCCCGCCATCCCGGGCCTGCGGCCCGCCCGCCGGCCCAAAAGGCCTCCCGGGCGCCCGCGTCTTCCGCGATACGGACGGATCGCGCAGCCGGGGCGCCCTTTCGGGCTCTCGCGTGCCTCTGTGGATCGGAGGCCGGCCCCGGCTTTCTCTAAATTGTCACTGTGGCGCCTCGATCCGAATTCACTACAAAATGAAGTCAGAGAGGGCGGGGGTAGAGGACTCCAAAATGGATGTTTGAGCAATTCATATCAGTGCTGAAAACTCCTTCGCTGAACACTACAAAATTTTCAAGCACAGCCTATCGGCCAGAGATAGTATCAGCTACAGAGGCAGTGTCTTTAGTTTCCAGTGTTTTTGAACCTGGAGCTTTTTCTGCTGCAAGTTACTAGATCTTACTGATTTAAATCTTAAATTGCTAAAAAGAAACCAAAAAAGGAATTAAGGTTTATTCTTTGAATTACCTTTCTGTATGCAGCTGTGAACACTTTGTGAGTGCTTTTTTTAGAGGCCATTCTAAATTGTTGAGTTTTAGTTTTTGCAGACGACTCAAATTTGTGAGTTTTCATAAGTGGAGTTAAGTCAGACATTTAATTTGCGAGCGTTGAAATCCGCGAAGTTACTTTAGACGATACTTTGGCTTTTGAAATTAAATATGGAATGCCAGTGTTAGAAACAAAAGTATATTTAAGGAATTGTATTTACATACACGCTAATGTATACTGTACTTACAGTTGAATGTGATTGGCAAAGTTGTATTTTCATTTTATTATGATTACTGGTCTGATACGATGTGATGGGATCCTGTTTGTGGTGTTTTTAATTTGGGGGTCGAGGCAGGAGCTGGTCAGTGTGTTTTATGAGTGCTTAATACAGATTAGCTAGACACAATTTTTAAGACAGTTAACTGTAAATTTTATCTGAATTGTCGCTATTCTGTTAAACATGTGGATGTATTCACTTATTAAATACTTAAAACCTCTCCCAGTCATTTTTTTTTGAGGTGGATTATGGGAATTGATTTGTGTAGTAATATTTTGAATAGTCACAACAGACAAAAAGTTTGATATTTGGCATAGTCTGCAGGAAATTCTTAGTATGTCTAGGCACTGAAAGTGAAGCGAATGTTAAGCTGTATTGTTAAATATTGTATTTGTAATTTTGGTGCTTCAGTTAGACTGTAAAGGGATATGAGTGGTTTTAATGTCTTCAAAGTATTTTAGGTTTTGTGCTTTTGTAAGCTGATTAAAATGTAAAAGCATGAAATTGTTTTTGAGAGGTGGTGTTATTTTTTGAACTCAAGGATTGGTAACCATTTTTTAATGAATTATTCCTCTAGGCCCATAGAACCAAAATAAATTGTTTATCTTAAAAAACCACAGCACAAGTAAAATTGCGAAGTAGATTGTTTCTACTTATCTTTTAAAATATTTTTGATTAGAACAAAAAGCTTGTAACTGCAACTTAGCAAGTTTATATAGCTCACTGATGGGGGAGGGAGGAGTGAAGGAGGAAGTTATGGGTGAAAAATATGTATATGTACTTGTAAATGGGAATCTCAGCCCTGAGAGTATAACACTGTCTCTAGTCTCATCCTTCTGTGGCCATATACTTGTTGGGAGCTTGTTTCCTTCCTTGTTCAGCTCCTCCTCTCAGCTACCAAATCTCTACTGACATCACATTTCCCGCCAGATGAACATGAACTAGAATCAGTAGGGGCACTTTTTTCTTTGTATGTTTGGTACGCATGCATAAATTTTTTCACTGAGTAGAATTAGCAAGACTGGCTTGAGTATGTTTGCCTTAGCAAGTGGGAAAATTAGTTTTCCATTTTAAAAATGAATTTCAGACATGTACATCTCAGAAAATGAAAGAAAATTAAGCAATTTTTATGGGTATTTTTTTCCTACTTAAAAATGTGCTTAGATAATCTAACTGTAATCACTCAAATTACTGGGAATCATGAGAGGCCTGTTGAGAGCTTTGTAGCTGTGCTTTTTTAAAATTTTATTTTGCAATAAGTTTATATTTATAGGAAAGTTGCAAAGATAGAACTGAGAGTTACCTTGTACCCTTCACCCAGCTTCCCCTAATGTTAATATAACGGTAGTGCGTTTGTCAAAACTAGAAAACTAACAATAATGCTGTATTATTAACTAAACTGCAGATCTCATTTTCATTTCAGTTTTTTCCCCACTAATGCCCATTACCTGTTTCAGGATCTAATCTAGGGTACCACATTGCATATAGTATTGTGTTTGAAATCAAGTGAAAATATACACATAAAATCCAACTTTATGCTAGTTGAGTTTGGTATTTTAAGATTAAAAGGGCATTGAAAAGCCAGTGTGAGCTGCACTAGAGATTTAAGTATTTTGAATTTAGAATTTGTTATAATATGATAGGGGTTCTTTCTGGATCCTGGCCAAGAATGTTTGGTTACCTTCAGACCAGTGTTGAATAGGTCTAAGCATAAAGCATTCTCAACTGTAATGTCCCAGAGCATGGACTCCCAAAGTTGGTTTGATGGCAAAGCCCTTTTTTGTACTTTATTATTAACAGTTGTATAGTTAATTTTAGTAATCAAGAAATATAAAAAGTAGGCCTTTATGCAGTAATAATTTGTCCACTCTATACTCATGTGAATTTCTGGATTATTAATTTGCTTATTTCATTTGTACTTTAAGTTGTGACCAATTAATTGGGTAACTGTTTTTATTTGAAGTTGGTTTGAGTTCTTTAGTGTTCCTTGAAGATTTTAAGAAACTTGAGTGTTTGCCTAAGAGTGGTTTCTTAGTTTGTTTCCACCTTAGCTTCACACTTGTTTTTGTTTCCAGTAACACTTTGTCCTTGCCGGTTTCTGGCTTTCAGAAAGCCACTTGTGGGAGCTGAGAAGTCAATAACCCTTTCCGAATGCTATTCAATAAGTGCTATGAATTTTTCTTTTTTCCCTTCCACAGGTATTATGAGAAGATAGCCTCTCTCTCTTTTTTTTTTTTTAATTCATCTGCTCCTCCCCCCTCCATTTTTATGCCTGGTTGCACTGGAGAAAGCCCTTGTAATGAATTGCTATAGTAGCGTCCCAGGACTACTCTTGGTTTTGGTACTTTTTACAGTGTGATTATGTGTTTATGTACAGAGGGAGACCTAAGAGTACCTTTAAGTTACAACTTTTTACAATAATGCCAACTTCCATGTTAGCTTGGTATTTTGTCAGTTGTCTTCTATAAGAGTATTAAGAGTTACTGAGAGGAACACTGGTAGATTTTTCTTGAGGGTTATCTTGAACCTAAACCAAATACTAGTTCTTGCCTGGTTTATGTGTTTTTAGGTCTCTCTTTTGTTTCTATAGTATTTCCAAGAAGCCTAACATCAAACATTTTTACTTTGTCTCTCATGATTTTCTGAATCATCTCTTTGAGTGGTGTGCTGCTAATGAAATTTCTCTTACAAATGAATTAGCTTAGTAAAGGCTCTATAGTTTTGAAGTTTTGGGGGGCTTATTGTGGAATTGTGGAAAGAAATTGATTTAAAATTGGAGTTTTTCATAGAAGACTTTAATATCTCAAGGTCAGTTTTATTGATCCATTCTTTCTATCATTTTCTTTGCAGTGATTTTAAAGTAAATATTTTTAACTATTCATGTAATAAATATTTACTGTTATTTCTGCCAGGAATTATACTGGGCATTCAAAGCATCCTCTCATAATGTTGATACCTTGGGATAGTGCTTTATAGTTTATAAAACATAACACTTTCTTTTGATTTTTAAGATCCTGTGAGATAATTTTCCCTTTTTTTTTTTTTTAAGCTTTTAAAAATTTATTTTGAAAGAATGGTAATGCGGGCTCTTGGGCTCACATGTGGGAGGGGGAGGGGTAAAGAGAGGAAGAATCCCAAGCAGGTTCTGTGCCCTGTCAGCGAGGAGCCTGAAGCAGGGTTTGAACTCCAGATCAATGAAATCCTGACCTGAGTTGAAATCAAGTCAGTCACTTAACCAAGTGAGCCATCCAGGTGCCCCAGTTTTCCCATTAAGAGAAGTTTTTTTTTTTTTTTAATGTTTGTTTATTTTTCACACACACACACACACACACACACACACCCACACACCCACCCATCAGTGGGGAGGGGCAGAGAGAGATTGAGGGAGACACAGAATCTGAAGCAGGCTCCAGGCTCCAAGCTGTCAGCACAGAGCCTGGTGCAGAGCATGAACTCACCAACTGCAAGATCATGACTTGAGCTGAAGTCGGATGCTTAAACGACTGAGCCACCCAAGTGCCCCCACCCCCATTTTTAACATAAAAAAATTGAGTCCTGCTTTAAATCACACACAATTTCACAGTTCTAGCTAGAAGTCAGTTCTGAGTTATTTTCTTTCTAGTGTAGTATACTTAGCTCCCCCAACATAATTGTAGCTTAAACCATGAAAGTCTAATAGTTTTCTGATTCAGTGTTTTCCCTCTAATTCCGTGAAAAATTTAATAATGGTAAATTTTTTTGTTGCTTGTCTTTTGCTTAAATTATTTGTTGCTGTTCTTCTTCCCTTTGGGTTTGTACTTCATAAGTATTCTTGTGTATGCATTTCCCGTTAGGTTTATTCAGAAAGTTCAAATACATCATGCTGTCTCTGGTTTAGAGATTTCCCTTCAATTAATGACCTGCATTATTGGGAAATGTGGTACCACAATTTATTTTTATTTAACTTCTGGAGAGGGGATCTTTGGGGAGTACTTACTCAGATTTGTCATTTGAGTGGTTATATTTATTTTCAAGGAATTTCTTGACTAAAGCTGTTCATTAATGGTTGACTATCTGCCCTTCCACTACTATTTTGTAAAAATGAAATACTTTAGATGCCATAAATTTGGCTTTTTTGAAGGATGAAAAAAGACAAAATGCCAGTATTATAAAACAATTTGTACCTGAGATACTGTATTCTTTAAGTTGAATAATTGTAAATTTAATGCTGATCAGGAAAACTTCAGAGGTGGACAACCTTATATGAAGATTGGATTTTAGACGTTATCCTTTAGTGTAGATTTCGGTATAAAATCTAGAAATAAATGTCTTTAGATTATTTAAAATGCCAAGAGACTGAAATGAAATATGAATTATTACCCTCATTAGGAAAGATGACTTAAGATTATAATTCCTATACCAGATAGAAGTTGAAGAATGACATGCAACTTTAATGACTGGTCTTCATTTTAATAATTAAAGTTTGATAAGTTTAAATGTTTGTATTTAAAAGATGATTATCTTAGTTGAAGCCTACACATTTGTACTGGGTCACAGTTTATCTGTCTTTACTCTCTTCCGCCTTTCTTTCAGTCTCCTTCACTGGGCCTTAGTTTATCTTTATAAAACACAGACCCTGGTTGCATCACTCACTTGCTTAAAAACCTTTTATAGCTTGCATTTACTATCTGCAGGATAAAGTCCAAACCCTTTAGCAGGATCTACAAAGCCATTAACTACAGGCCTTGATAAAAATGTCCTGTCTTGTTCTCCATTACTTTTCTCATGAATATGAGCCTTTTCTGGATCCTCTCTTGAACTCCAAAGTATACGTTCTTTAGAATTTCCTTTTGTTTGTGAATATTATATGTTTTCATATCTTTATTACTACTTCTCTTTCTTTTTCCTAGCTGCCTACAGTGAAATCATAAATTTTATTCTCAGAGTACTTTAAATATCTCCTGTGTGAAATCTTTTTTTTCTTCAATCTTACATATTCCAAAAGTATTTTGATCATATTCACATAGAAGTAGCCTGTATTTTTTATGTCTGCTTGAATAAACTGTGAACCATTTAAAATAGACATTGTATGTTTCATGAGCTTACTCATGCTTATTTCAGCTTGACAAATAGGCTCAAATGTCTTGAATTGAGTCGTTGAACTGTGTGGTTCATCCATTGAAATACATGCTTTCAACTACATGTCTCCATGAAAATTAGGTAGTGAGTTTTTTTTAAGAAACTTTTAAAATCTTCTGGTTCCGCAATATTTGTATTACGTTTTGTGGAATGGTTTATACTGAGAGAATGTATAGGTTTTAACCTTTTCTGTGGTCATAGACCTCCTTTGAGAATACAGTGAAACCGTAGATTATCCTGCTCCCTAGTTATACATTCTCAAAAAGTTCCTATGTTATTTTAGAGGAGTCCAAGATCCCTTGATGCCCAAGCATGGGTTCTAGGTTGAGAATGCTGGACTAGAAATGGTTATGTTTTCATTGTGTAGTGATACGCACAGTCATAGGAGATCACATATAGATGGAGAAGGAAGTGGCATAGGAATGGCTTTATTTTGAGAGTAATTCATACAAAGTCTTTTTTTTTTTTTTTTAATGTTTTATTTATTTCTAGGAGAGAGAGAGAGACAGCGTGAGCAGGGGAGGGTCAGAGAGAGAGGGAGTCACAGACTGAAACAGGCTCCAGGCTCTGAGCTGGCAGTCAGCACAGAGCCCGACGCGGGGCTCGAACCCACGAACCGCGAGATCATGACCTAAGCGAAAGTCGGACGCTTAACCGACTAAGCCACCCAGGCGCCCCAATTCATACAAGGTCTTATTCCCTGTGTCTTTATTTACCCTTGATCTTAGTGGGAGACTGGTTTGGTATGAATTAAAGCCCTAAGTTCTGGAATTAGATTTGGCCTAGTTTTAAATCCTGTCTTGGTCATTTGATAGCTGTGTGATTTTTCATTTGTGAAATGAGGATAGTGATAGCACCTACCTTGTAAGATTGTTGTAAAGAGTAGATGATAATAATCTTATAAATCACTATCATGGTATTTGGCACTAAAAGAATGGCTCCAGTGTGAGACATTACTTTTATTCTCTTAAAAAATTTTACCCTTTGATATTGATGTGTAAGATTTTATTGCTCTTTGCTTTCCTATGTAGATATTTTTCCTATGTTGCCCATCTATAAAATATGAGTATTATAACTAAATTCTATTACGTCACAGAATACAGTGTATATGTCTGTCATTTTATTGCAAACATAAATAGGGTAGTAGATAAAACCATAGTCTGTATTCTCCAGATTTTAGATTTTAGAAAAACCTTTCAGATGGAGTGACTTTGCCATGTGGTCACAGGGCAATAAGCTTTCCTCATTAAAAAGTTTTAAGGTCTCATATTTTTTTTGTAGTTCATGGGAAAAGTATTTGGTGGTTTGCTAATGGAGTAGTCCTAGTCAAGAATTTACTCTGGAGGACATTAATATATGCCATAAAAGAGGAGCTTTAACAGCTTGACTTAGGTTTATAGCAGTAATACACAAATCTTGACTTTTTTACTTAGATGATTTCATAACACTGTACTAGTTGTGTTTCCTTTTTGTACACAAATATAATGCACCTGATTTAGTGATACGTATTTTAGTATATATATTTTTTGAACTCCTCAGTGTTTGCAATAGTGTTTGGTATGAGCTGTTCATAATCTTTTCTAGCCCCCTATGTTTTTATTTATTTAACTGTATGGATTAGAGATCATAGGTGAGAGAACAGGAGACCAGTTTGTGGTTGTAAAACAAAGAATACTGTGATATTTTTTCCTGCTCAAATAGCATGGGTTACCTTTGTGATAACTAGCAAAATTGAAAATAATAATTATTGTAGTTTATATTGTGCTGTTTCAGTATTTGAAGTCTACTGTGTTACTAAGAGAACTTTTAATTTCAGGTGGTAGAATTTATGTCAGTTTTAAGATTTTTTTGAGGATTGATTTAAATGTGTCACAGATATATATCATATAACCTTTTTTATTTTCTTTGTCCAGACAGGTGATTTGGCTTCTGCACAGTTAGGAGGAGCACCAAACCGATGGGAAGTTTTGTCAGCCACACCTACAACTATAAAAGATGAAGCTGGTAATCTAGTACAGATTCCAAGTGCTGCTACTTCGAGTGGGCAGTATGTCCTTCCCCTTCAAAATTTGCAGAATCAGCAAATATTTTCAGTTGCCCCAGGATCAGATTCATCAAATGGTACAGTGTCCAATGTTCAATATCAAGTAATACCACAGATTCAGTCAACAGATGGTCAGCAGGTTCAGATTGGTTTCACAGGCTCTTCAGATAATGGGGGTATAAATCAAGAAAGTGGTCAAATTCAGATCATTCCTGGCTCTAATCAAACCTTGCTTGCCTCTGGAACACCTCCTGCTAATATCCAGAATCTCATACCACAGACTGGTCAAGTCCAGGTTCAGGGAGTTGCAATTGGTGGTTCATCTTTTCCTGGCCAAACCCAAGTAGTTGCTAATGTGCCTCTTGGTCTGCCAGGAAATATTACCTTTGTACCAATCAATAGTGTCGATCTAGATTCTTTGGGACTCTCGGGCAGTTCTCAGACAATGACTGCAGGCATTAATGCCGATGGACATTTGATAAACACAGGACAAGCTATGGATAGTTCAGACAATTCAGAAAGGACTGGTGAGCGGGTTTCTCCTGATATTAATGAAACTAATACTGATACAGATTTATTTGTGCCAACATCTTCTTCATCACAGTTGCCTGTTACTATAGATAGTACAGGTATATTACAACAAAACACAAATAGCTTGACTACTTCTAGTGGGCAAGTCCATTCTTCAGATCTTCAGGGAAATTATATCCAGTCGCCTGTTTCTGAAGAGACACAGGCTCAGAACATTCAGGTTTCTACAGCACAGCCTGTTGTACAACATCTACAACTTCAAGAGTCTCAGCAGCCAACCAGTCAAGCCCAAATTGTGCAAGGTATTACACCACAGACAATCCATGGTGTGCAAGCTAGTGGTCAAAATATATCGCAACAGGCTTTGCAAAATCTTCAGTTGCAGCTGAATCCTGGAACCTTTTTAATTCAGGCACAGACAGTGACCCCTTCTGGACAGATAACTTGGCAAACATTTCAAGTACAAGGGGTCCAGAACTTGCAGAATTTGCAAATACAGAATACTGCTGCCCAACAAATAACTTTGACGCCCGTTCAGACGCTCACGCTTGGTCAAGTTGCAGCAGGTGGAGCCTTGACTTCAACTCCAGTTAGTCTAAGCACTGGTCAGTTGCCAAATCTACAGACAGTTACAGTGAACTCTATAGATTCTACTGGTATACAGCTACACCCAGGAGAGAATGCTGACAGTCCTGCAGGTGAGTCTTAAGTCATGTCATGCCATAGATCAGCGATTTGTTAACGTGTAGGGATATTTTTTGGCTTAAGGTCTTTTCAGTATCTGGCTGCCTTTAAAGGTGATGATATGTTTCGCTATGTTTGTATGAATGGTAGACATCAAAGTGTCTTCCAGATTACTCTTCATTGAAAAGTTTTGAAGTCAAGGAATCATTTCTCTATTATGCCAATTATGTTTGTAGTTTCCCCCCAGTTTTATATCTGTTTTCACATTTGATTGGTATTGTCAAGCATTACAGAATTTTTATTTGGCAGGTAAGGTGTCTTGGTTGTGCTTGGTGTGATGTAGGTTAAATGTTTTATGCATTATATTTGGCTGGGGAATCAGATATGTTTGGCATGATGAAAACATAACACTGGGAACCCAGACTCTCTCCCCCACTACGTAGCTGTCTGGTTTTGGCCAAGTTAACTTTTTCTCTTGCACACTCAGTTTTCTCATTATATAAAATGGGGTTGTTGGACAGGTAACTATATCTAGGGTACTTTCCAAACCTAAAATTTTTTGATTCTGTGATAGTTTATTCTTACAAGTGTGTAATGGGCATTACATTTAACCATGCTAGATATATAGTTACTGATAGTATGGGTAGAAATCTCAGAAGTCTACTCTTTGAATGTTGTGCAGAAATTTAAAAAACAGTTTTAAAAGAGATAGTATCATTACTTTAATGTGGTTATTTAGAGAACATCTTATTGAATGTTTTGTTGTGCACTAAATCCTTAATTTTACTCCTCTATTTTGTATTCGGGTTATTGTGTTGATTTTACTACTATCATTACCTTCTACTGGGTCAAAGTTTGCAAACTCTTACATTAGGACACTTGAATTTAATTTTTTTGAAATAATTCCCATCACCATAGATACTACTTTTTTCTCTGAAGAAATTTGTCATCTATGCTTAAAAGTTGGAATTGTTTTGAAGCCTCAGATCCGTACTTGGCAAGACTTTAATTGCATTTGAGTGTCCTGAAGCAGTTGTTTAGAGCAGCCATTATCAAACCATGGTCTGTGGGTCCCTGGGGGATCCCAGAAACCCTCTCAGAGGTCCTTGATGTCAAACTACTTTTCATAATACTCATGTTCTTTGCCTTTTTCATTGTGTTGACATTTCCATGATAGTGGCTAAAATGGCTTGTGTCTTGGCAAAAATGAAAGTAGTACTACTTCCAAACTGTACTACTACTTGTTATATTCTTCACGACCATGTACTTGCAGTTAAAGAAAAATCGCATTTTCACTGAAGGACGACCTTGATGAATCGGTCAAAATAGTTACTTTTACTAAATCTTGACTCTTGTGCTGCATGTCTTTTAAAAAAAAATAACTTTACTGAAGTACAAGTCACATACCATAAAATTCTCAATTCACTCTTTAAAGTATATAATTCAGTGGTTTTTTATATAGTCAGACTTGTGCAACTATCATCACCGTCTAATTTTAGAGCATTTTCATCACCCTGCAAAAAAACAAAAACAAAAACCACCAACAAAAAAACCCAAGCCCATCAGTAGTCAGTCCTCATTCCCTCCCTCCCCTTACCTTGACAACTATTAATCTACCTTCTGTCTCTTTGGATTTGCCTATTCTAGATTTGCCTGTTATTTCACATCAATGTAATCATGCATTTTGTGGCTTCTTTGTGTCTGACTTCTTTCATTTAGTATAACATTTTCGAGGTTCATCTATGTTGTAGCTTGTGTCAGTATTTCATTCCTTTTTGTGGCTGAATAATATTCCATGGTATGGATAGACCTCATTTTATTCATTTACCTGTTGAGGGACTGTGTTTCTACTTTTGGCTATTGTGAGTAACGCAGCTGTGAACATTTATGGACAGCTTTTGTGTGGATATGTTTTTGTTTATTTGGGTTATATACTAAGGAGTGGAATTGCTGGGTTGTATGGTTGTATTTCACATTTGAAGGGCTACCAAACTTCTTCACCATTTTACGTTCTCCCCAACGTTTGAATGTTCCAATTTCTCTATATCCCTACTGACACTTGTTATTTTTTTTTATTTTTTAAAATGTTTACTTATTTTTGAAAGAGAGACGGAGACAGGGTGTGAGTGGGGGAGGAGCAGAGAGAGAGAGAGAGAGAGATCCAGATCCAGATCCAGAATCTGAAGCAGGCTCCAGGCTCCAAGAGCTGTCAGCATAGAGCCCGAAGTGGGGCTGGGTGAGATTATGACCTGAGCCAAAGTTAGATATTTAACTGACTGAGCCACCCAGGCACCCCTCTTTTTGATCATAGCCATCCAGTTGGATGTGAAGTGCTGTCTTACTGTATTTAATTTGCAATTCCTGCTACATGTCTTTGTAATATTCTTTGTGACAAAATGGGAAGTATGCTTTAACGAAGCAATTTCTATTTCATACTGTAAATAAGATGATTATCTTTAAAAAAATAATTTTTTTCCTGATTATGCAAGGTGAACTGTATGCTGTTTTTATGAAAGACTGTTTTTACTTGAAATTACAACTGACAAACTATGGTTATCGAGAGACTCATGTATTTAAGTGCGAATACTTATTTAAAAAAAAAAAAAAGAGTTAAGTGAGCCTGTCACTTAAGAACAAAAGCCTGACAGTATTTGCTACCGATGATAAAATTTGGGTTTTCCAGTGAAAATTAGAATTTTGGAAAACTCAGGTCTATTCCTAATGACTTAATAGCTTGTTAATAATTAAACACTTTTTTGATGACATGGATATGATATTAGTAAGTAGGATTTGATACTGTATTAAAATGAAATGTGCCAACATTTGGAAAATTTGTGTGATAGCTCAGTTGAACCAGTAGTTGTCAAATGACCAGTTCACATTACAAAATCATGCAGGGGTAAAAAGATCAATTTAAAGTTTGAGATAAACCTGTAACAAGTGTATGGGAAGTTTATCAGTATGGTTTCAGATTTTACACTGGAACTGACTTTTAAGAAACTGCCACCTGTCAAGTTTGACATAGTATCATACAAAGAATACCCACAGTTGACTGAAAAGACCATCATTATTTTTTCCTTTTCTAGCCATGTTTCTTTGTAAGACTAGACATTCTTCATACGCTTCAGCCCAAACCACATGTTGCAAAAGATAGAATGTAGAATTTTCTTTTAACCTAGATATTTTTAAAGATATTTGCAAAAGTGTAAAACATGGTCTCTCATTAAGCTTTTTGTTTATATTTTTGGAAAATAGTCATTTTTCATAAAATGTTAATTTATGTTGACGTGGATTTACTATTTTTAAACAAAACAAAAAATTAGTTTCTCTTATAAATTTTAATATGGTAGATATCAAAATATATAACCTACATGAACAAAGCTTTTGGAGACTTCAGTAATATTTAAAACTTTAGAAGGAGTTCTGAGACCAAAAAGCTTGAGAATACTGGTAGAATAACAGACTTCTGAAGATTTGCTGGTAGTTTTTAGAAACCAGTTTTTAAAGCTTGAATAAAGTTAAGGTTGTAGAGATCTATACATGCTAGAAAAACATCCCTAGGGAATTTATTTGTGATTTTGTGGATTTATGTTAGTCATAAATCAGATTGTTACAAAGTACCAAATGCTTCATTAGTTTATTTCTAAAATACTATCAAAATAGTAACATTGTATGAAATAAATACGAAGTGGACTTTTTAAAGTGGTAATTTAATTTATTGAATGGTGGCAAGGAAGGTATACTAAAAGAAGCACTCCAGGAGGCCATTAAAAGTGAATTTTGTCCCAATTTTAAAGGAACGGGGAAAATTTTTGAGAAAAGAGAATGGGAATAAATGCTACATAGTACACAACAGCATAATTAGTAATGAAACACAGGAAATTCTAATTTGGGGGATATTTGGTGATTGGAAAACTATCCCTTGGTGTGCTGACTTTTTAATTGGCAAGAAGCAAGATAACTTATTTTTTAAATTTTTTAATGGTTTATTTATTTCTTAGAGACTGAGTGAGCAGGGGAGGGTCAGAGAGAGAGGGAGATAACAGAATCTGAAACAGGCTCCAGGTTTTGAGCTGTCAGCACAGAGCCCGACACAGGGCTTGAACCCACGAACCATGAGATTATGACTTGAGCCGAAGTCAGACGCTTAACCAACTGAACCACCCCGGCGCCCCTAGATAACTAATTTTAGGACGTGTTTTCCTGAAAATGAGGTTTTTAAAATCTGTATTAGAGCATAGTATTCCCAGATGAAATGCTTCAAAAACTGTTAACATCATTGGTTTGAGTTTTTGGTTTTGTAAGTATGTAACAATTTTCACAATAAATGAGAAGGCACACATTTTTTTTTTTTTTACTGGGGTTTTGGAATTTCTTTGACTTTTTGTTTTTCTTAAGCTCCCCTTTAACAAAAATGACCTGCTCTTGCCTGTTTAAGGCACTGCATCTGACTCTGGGCTCCTCCTCATGATGGGTATCTTTAGTGACTCTTATCCCTTAGAAACCAGACTGAACATAGAGCTCGTCATGCTCGGAGCTGCAACTGCACTCACTGATTATATTTCTGTTTCTTACCCATTGAGAAATGCATGCTGTTCTGTTGTTGAAGTTTTGTTTTGTCTACCATTACTGGGTATTTGAAGATGGGTAGGAGGAGACAAAGTATGGATTTATGTATCTTTCCAACATTTTTTCTGATCAGAAAATGTCTTCAGAGTTCACATCAAGACTGACTTACTCAGGCTCTCAAATTTTAGTCCTCTACCAGATTTTGTTATATAAATACAAATTTATCCTTCAAGACTGGGCACATTTAAATTTCAGTCAGATGTTTGAGGTAGGAAGAAAGGTTTATGGAAAGCATTATTTCTTTATTTTCTTAAGATTATTAATTTTGAGAGAGAGCTTGTGTGTGTGAGTTGACGGGAGGGGCAGAGAGAGGAAGAGAGAGAATCCCAAGCAGGCTTGGTGCTATCAGTGTAGAGCCCAGTGCAGGGCTCAATCCCATGAACCC